GACATAAACTGTTCAGATAGCCAAGTTCCCCGAAATAAGACACGTTTTTAACCATCATGACAGCTCTCTATACCGTCACGTAAATGACGCGTCACGCAAAAGCTTAGAAATTCAAGCGTAGTGTATCACAAAACCAAAAACCCATTCGGAGCGAAAATTTGTATGAATATTAGTTTTCAGCTGCTCTTATACATCATTGAAGTAAAACTCACGAAGATCAATAGTTTTGTGGTTCGAATTTTAGTGACGTCATGTGAAAACCAGCTATTGCAAAGTTAACTTTAATAGCAGATTTGCACGTTGTCGTCATTTGACTATAACTACCAGAATTCCTTTCGTTTTCTCTTTATTATTTAAATTTTGAAGCCCCTGTGGGGTTTAAATAACAATTACCCTAACTGGCATAAGAAACAGAAAAAGTGAAGGATTCTGGTAGATGTAGTCATATGACGCCATCATGCAAATCACTTATTGCGTCACTAGCTGCGTTTGCCAGCAAATAGAAACCAATAATATAACAGCGCCCCTAATGGCTACCAATGCGTATTCAGGCATAAAATGTTCAGTTCTATTCGAATTCTTTCTCTATACCGCAGATCTCTGACCGTTTCAACAGGAGCCCAACTTACATTAGTTGAAGGAACCCCCCTTACCTAATTAAAGTTTACCCACAAAGCTAAGAAACCACCTTTTCCTATTTTGTCTTTCTTGGATATATCGTTGATTCCGTCGCAAACTGAATTAACCTACGTGTCTATGATACAGACCTTTCATGCGGTGTAAAAAGAATGCTACACATCACAAGTAAAATGACAAGAGCACTCTTCATCTAGAATTACGGATTACAAGTATTCCTGCAACACGAGCAATATCGCATTAAAACGCAATACCATGATCTAGAATTCTAGCCTTTGAAGGATTAAGCTTATGTATTTGACTGGAACGATGTGTTTCAGTGAAGACACAGTTGTTTGCTAGCCCAACTATTGTTCGTTCAGCCACTCCAGTTGACATTTTAATTCCGCTCTGAGAGTAATGCAAACGCTCTCTTAACAGCTTTATTAAGGTTGCCGTGTTGTGTCATCAAGTATAGTGCAAGTTTTCTCGCAATTGTTAAGTCACTCAGTACGTTGCGACTTTGACAGTGTATGAAATACTGAACTAAAAGCGCCTTGCTGAATAAGTATGTGTGCGTTTGAATTCTTACGGGACTCAAAAGGCTGAAGTTCCACACCCGCGTAGTCCTGATACATGATTCGCTTGGTCATGATACATCCAACCGCGAATTTAGAAGGCGAGTCTTTGGCAGTTTGGAATCGAGTTAACCATTTTCTTGAAACTATTTTCATGTCAGAACTTAATGATGTACGTAGCCAGTTCATTACTTACCAAGTATATATCTATTGACCTTCGCAGCCTTTGCTTTTATAGGAGGGTCGCAGGTCGTGCAGTTATCAAAATATAACTGCCCTATAGAGCTTTGGACTACTGCGCAATGTAGTAATAACTCATTGTTTTTATTCAGAACTTTTGTTCTTGACAAAGCATTTAACCAGGAGACTGTTTGCGGTGAGCTTTTGCATGTCACGAAAGGTCACAAAGTGTTATGAATTCAGCCTCCGGGAAAAAAACACAGCTTTATTCGACTCGTGGGGATGGTGTCGATACTGTTTTTTGTATGGCGTAGTGTACCTATTTGAACTCACCGAAGAAGAGCCAAGCACAAAAGATCTGCTTGGAAACCTCGCTATTTGGCTCTTCTAAGGGTTTTTTCCCGGGGGGGGGGAATACTCCCAGAAAAATTAGGTGGGGGTGTGCGGCCCGCTTACCAAAACCCTTACCCTATTTATGACCAAAATCTGCGATATTCCCTACACTATTTATGACCTGACCAAAAATTCGAAACCCTATTTATGACCTGACTATTAAATCAAACCCCTATTTCTGACCTGCGTTATAATAAGTTCCCTAGTTCAGACCAATGTTAAATTACCGCAAACATAATTTGTGAAGGGCTTTTGTTGATCTTCTTTTCGATAATGATGAAAAAGTGGCTTCTTCTTAAAAACATACCCATATCAAGGCTAGAGTGCAAAAACCATACCTTATTTATGACCAAAATGGCCAAAATCAGCTAAAATTGATACCCTATTTATGACCAAAACGGCTGAAAAACCACACCCTTTGGGGCCGCATATACCTATATAGCCCATATAATGGAGTACCCCCCCCCCCCAAGGGGTTTTCAGCCTTGATATCATTTCTGTCATACGCAACACACAATAGATGTGCGAAAATGGTTACTTGTTTTTAAGCACACGCAAGATGCCAATAGGCAACGTCTGGTCTCAAAGCATATTATTATATTGTGTGGGAGGTGAATTTGAACACTCACTACCAAATCTTTCAAAGCTCGCTACACACCTTTAGACTGGCAAAAACCAAACATGATAGTCATTATAAACAACGTGGTATGTTTTAACATCCTTCTCTTGCCATAGTGCGCGAACGTGCCAAACGACGATAAACTTAAAACTTCCCTTAACGACGCTAACCTCAATTTTTCCGCTTTGTAAATTAAGAAGCTGTCACGGATGGTCGACCGCGAAGGCTCCAGCCTGAATATTTTAAACTGGTGGTTCGTTATTTGATATAACCAAGAGATTGTGATCCTATTCTCTTGATATAGAGTAAAATCTTTATTAAGCGGACCCCATATTAAGCCGACACTCTCTATTAAGCGGACAGCAGTGCAAGTCCCATATTTCTTTTCCCACAGTTTACAGTAAAAAGTATCTGTATTCAACGGACACCTCTATTAAGCGGACGCGGACACCTTAAACTTGACTTTATGATCATTTCTATTGTTAGAAACCTGTATCAAACGGACACTACAAAAAGAATGCATGATTTTTTTTGTCCACGTATTAGTAGATCGGTCATTTAAGTTTGCCAACAAACTGAGATGTCACATAAATGCAATCTTTTGTTATTCGGTTTTGTTTTTACAGAACTTTTGTGCTTGTTTGATTTAGTAAATCTTCACATGATTCGATCAATATAGATACTGTTACTGTATACTTAAGGTGATTCCTTAGTATTGCATTGCGCATCCCTACTGCGCACGATTTTCGCGTCATTAGCGCGCGCACATGAGCGCTTGCGCGTACAAAACGTAAGAGATTTCCCTCAAACTAAGCTCGATAGCGAAATAAATGCTCCTTTTCTCTTAAAGGAGCAGGATGACCCCCGATTTTTTTTTTCCGATATTTGCTAAGACCAGTCTAATAAAGAACATATTTGAAGAAGAAAAAAAGTTTGATAGTAAAACATGAATTATTTTTTGGAAAATAGTTCCGTGCTTGGTGTATTTTGGCCAAGGCGAGGACTTCAAGCTAACCTCGGAACTGTCCGAAAAAGTGCAATATTCCCACAACCAGGCAATCTAAAACGGCTTAAATGAAGCAATACTGCTTATGTGAATAATAAAAGAAGCTTTACTTTCAAGATAAAATTCTGTGTCTTTCAAATAACCAAGATTTAATTCTGTATGAAGGTGATTCGAATTTTAAACGCACAACCGTTAAAAAATACCCCATTTTAAGAGCCTGCTCACGCGTAAACAAGCACGGTGACCCCATTTTTTTTTTATTGTATTTTTTTAATGTTCATATCATGAATGTTAATTATGCCAAGTTTCAAAAAAGGTTTGATAGTAGAACAATTCCTAGGGAATTACCTTAAATCACTTCACCTCATATATTTGTCATTGTTTATGGAAATACGGTATTTCAGAGCTCTTGACCGTTCACGAAAATGCTAGTTGACGCTTTCAAGGTCTTTTGCTTTTGATACTGACGAATATTAATATGACACTTTAAGACGAATTCTGAGGGAACCTGTTTTCAACGGACACCCCGTATTAAGCACGGGTTCCGAGAGTGTCCGCCTAATACAGATTTGACTGTAACATAAGGAACGTTTTGATTCAAGTGCCCCGCGAACGGTGAACCGCCAGGGGTCACCAGACGTCAAGTTTGTGGTCTTCGAATTGCGTTTTGAACCGTTCAAGAGGTAGATTTTAACTGATCTAACTCAAGCAAGAGATTACAATCTCTTGACTCAGGAGCCCATCACTAGAAGCGTGCAATTTCCATACTAAGGCAATTTTACAGGGTGGCCTATTTTTAGGCTTCTTTTCCCGCGAAATAGGTCAGTTCCGGTCTATGTGTATGTCTACATGCATAAACTGGGCCTGGCTATGATTTTAAGGCAAATAAGGGGGAAGGGGAGGGGAAGGGAGGCGGGTGGTGCGGGGATGTAGCAATGGGAACGGCCGATTTTAGGAGGGAATATTGTGTTTGGAAAACCAATGATTGGGTTTGGGTTTGAAAGGGACGTCTCGTCCAAAACAATAGTTTTGAGTGAATGTAAAAATAAATAGCCCATGGTAAAACGTTGTTAATATACAGCAATGTGAAGGGCGTATAAAGAAGAACCCTGAAATGATGTTGCAGTCTGTGCAATTGACGCCGCTCTACCAAGCAACCATAAAATCGTTTTCCTAATTAATATTTAGCCTTAATTTGCTGTGGAGGGATCTCAGACCTTGGGGATATAACGTACTAATGTGTCAGAAATCGTCTGGGACCATTATGGCTGCGAAGTAACAAACAAATCATTTTTTTCAACAATGTTTTGGGCAAATTTATATCTGTTCCGATATGTTTCTTTTTCCCAGCCGAAGTGTGTTAACTTCTACTTCCCAGAAAATTTCCTTGTAGAACTTTGCCAGCCAGCAGACAAATCACCCGAATCCCCACACACTGAGCACACGACACAAGGGATCGTGGTTGCAGGACCTACACCTTCGGTGGGGTTGAGGGGGTAATTTGCGGATGGGTCGTGCTCAGCCAAAAAGTAAGTTTCAAACCATGGGAAATTTCCTAATTCCGACTTAGGAGTTGACAATAGGGAGCTTAAGCAAACCGCGACTTCAACGGCAACGAAAACCACTTTGTGACGTAGGCCTCCTCATTAAAGATTATTTAATGATAATAATAATATAAAACGCCACCCGTTCTCTGCAAAACAACACCGTGAAATGACGAATTTCTGCATATTTTGGAGAACGCGAACGACGGTGGCTAATTTTCCGCATTTTGGTTTGGAATTGAACGCTGGCATTCCAGTCAACATTACATATATATTTAATTGGTTTGAGAAAGTTCCGAATCCGACAGGCGCACGTACTGAACAGATCTAGACAATTACGAAATTCGAAGGTAAAATATAAATTCATTTTTTACTGAGCGTCGTCCTCGGGATTGCCGTGGTCATCGCTTAAGCTCCCTTAAATTGCTGCTCGATCGCAAATGAAATTATTTTTTACCTTCATTCTCGATTTAATTTGATTACATTCGTTGAGTGTGAGCGGCGAACAGTTATTCTTCTGAATTCAGCAAAGACAAAACAATTTGGAGTTGAATCGACAGACAGTTTTTCAATTTCTGAATCACTCACAAGTCACCTGACTCATCTGTCAAGGGCAAAAAAAAAGACCTCTAGCTATAAACTATTTATTCATGTTTTTCTGTAAATACAGGAAGCGGTGTCAGGCTGTGTCACGCAACATAACAGACTAACTCTGATTATTCAACCGATGAACTTGGCTTTATCAGTCAACTTGAATTTATAAATATTTACAACGCAAAATCAAAACATTATTTCAAGACGTTCATCAACTATTAAGACAGTTACCGGTATATAAAAATGACGATTAAGGAACTGACCCCAACTCGTTGTTAACGAAAAGAAAACTAAAACTCTTATTTGTAAGATACACAACCATTACTCGCGGATTAATTGACGATTTTTACTCCGTAGTCATAATTATGATTAAATAAATTAAAATCAACTAAATGCGACCTGACTCAAAACAATACGTTATGAATAACCCTAGCAAGTATTTTCTCGCTGGTTAAACAATAGCTGAATATATTCAAAGAAATCTACTTAATTCATATTTCCTTCGCACCCTTAATTTGTGTCTTTGTACTGAAGGCTCATATTATCTAAAACAGATGGATCAACAAACGCTGCGTTCGATTTTGATCAAAAATTTCTATGGCACTGTCACGTAATGATGACCGTACGAGAACTGGTGCTAGGCTCTGATTGGAGCATCTGGGGAATTTTTCTGTTTCAGCGGTCTATGTCAGCGACTGCTAATTTGATCATCACTCAGGAGGGAGAGGTCAACTTTGCTTCAGTGGCCATGCGATTGCGCGCCCGATGATCTTGGCCATTATGACGTCACTCGTGAGCCGGTCCGTGAAGTTTCAATGGCCGCTAAAAAGTGATACCAGAAAAGTTTTTCATCTGATGATTGCTCAAAGAATTTGAAAGAAAGCGATCAACAGCCCACAG